CCCCCGCTGCTGCCCAGGCCCCGCCTGCCCAGGGGTCCCCCCAGATCTCGCCTGCCCAGCGAGCTGGAGATGTAGATCCCGTCCCCCCGCCTGTTGAAATTCAGCACTGACACCTGCTCCCCGAACGGCCACAATAGCAGCCGCCGCCACCGCGCCGCGTCGGCGCCGCTCGCGCTCGCGGCGACCCACTGGGACCGCGTGAAGCGGCCCTTGGCCGCCGCCGCGAACAGCGCGTCGGCGTCGGCGGGCGCGGCCTTGGGCGCGGCCATGTGCGCGGCCTTGGGCGTGGGGGCGCTGGGCTTGGGGGCGGCCGACGGCGGCGGCGGCGGCTGGTGCTTCAGGGGGCCGTCCCTTATCAGGATGTGGCTGGTGCCGTCTGTGTTGTTGTAGGCAATGGCGCCCTGGAGGTGGGGGGGAGATTGTTGTGCGCCAAAGGTGTCAGCCGACGGTGCCGTGGAGGGGGGTGCTCGTTTGGGGATGGAGTTTTTGGTGGCCAGAGATAAGAGGGAGAGCGGCCATCACGCGCCGTCCAGCTCGGCATGGGGATAGCGCGAGGCGCCGGCTGGGAAATCGCCCTGCCACGGGCCATGCTTGCCCATGCCCTGATGTGTGCCAGGCTTTCATGCGGCTTCGAACCCCAATCACAGAACGCCCCCACACAATCACACCTCCCAGACTCCCAGCATGACCCTCCGCCTGCCCCAAGCTCGTATCTCTCGACCCCAAACAGCAATACAGCAGCAGTATTTAGTATACAGCAGCAGCAGCTACAGCTGCCAGCAGTACAGCTACTGTACATACAGCAAGACTGCCGACCCTCTCCCTGCCAACAAAACCCCCACCCGGACGTTGAAGTCGTAGTCAACCAGGAATGACGTCACGTCTCCCGGGTTGACCACCTCCAGGGTGAGCCTCCTCGCCTTCAGATCCACCTTGTAGAGGTCAAACACCTGGGGTTCACAAAAGCATGATATTGCACCAACATGAGATTGGACCAAACATAAAATTGCAGCAGCAGTGAGTTTCGACCATCAATTGTGTTAAATGTATTGGTGCATCATGAGGGCGAAACGGCGAATGCATCGGGGGCATGCAGCAGGCATGGGGCGAGGCGGGCTGACCACAGCGGCCTGTTTTGGCCCCGCGCGAGCCAGCCGCCTGCGTTGGCCAAACGCCTTGGCGTGTGGGTGTACTGGTATCACAGCTGAGGGCCCCAGGCTGGGGGTGCGCCTGCGCAAGCGCCCCGCCCGCCGGGGCTGCTGGGCGCAGGCGCGCGCAAGGGAGATAAGAGGCGGGCGACGGCCCATGATCGACGCTTGGCTGCCAGCGCAGCCGCAGGGATCGGCGCGCCGCCGGGGGCATGTGCCCTCGCAACCACGGACGACCCAGGCCCGTAAAGTATAAAAAAACGCACCTCTGAATCCCGCCGGTTGAGGCCGACGTACAGAAAACCTGGCGCCCGCCTGCTGTCGACGATACCCATCGCCTTGACCCCGGGGTAGGGCGTGAGGTCGACCGCCGGCGGCGCGGCGCGCGGCGCGGCAGAGGGGCCGGCGGGGCCGGTGGCGGCAGCGGCGAGGCTGGCGGCGACGGGCACGACAAACAGGTGGTCTATTTCGTCTCCATCGGTGTTCTGATGTGGAAAGGGGGGATGGTCACATTGTATGCGCCGCAATGGTCGGGTGACAGATAAGGGGCTCGCAAGGGCCAGAAAGACGTTGCATGCGGATTGGCGCGTCCGCCGCATGTCCTGCCGCCTGTGTACTCGTCGCATCCCCGCCGGCCCGCCGCCGCGAGCCGCGCCGCGGACACAGACGCTAGCGAAGGAACAAATACAGGGCGCTTCCCCTCGCCGCCAGCCAGGCGTGGAGCAAAGCGGTGAGAGCGACCGCTTTGATCCTCCGGCAAGGCTGGGAGGAGAGCAGCAGGCGGCGGTGCTCCGACCTCTGTGTAAATGATCGCCGAGCTGTCCACCGCCCAGCTGAACGCCGATATCCCGGCCCCCCTATTATTAGTCACCCGCAGGTCCCCATCCACGCCCTCTCTGTCAAATAGGCTGCGGGGGTCGTCCTGCTGCCGCTGCTGCTGCTGCTGCTGCTGCTGCTGCTGCTGCTGCTGGTGCTGCTGGTGCTGCTGCTGCTGATGCTGATTTGTGCCGCCGCCGCCCCCGGGACCCTCCCGCCCCGCGGCAGGCGAGGCGGCGGCGGCTACAAGAGAGGAAGGCCGCGGCGGGCCGGCCCCCGACGGCGGCAGTTGCGGCGGCGTGGGCGGCGGCGGGAGGGTCTTGATGAAAACGTTGTACACATCAGCGTCGCCAGAGGGGCGGATGTAGGCAAGATAACGACCGTCGGGGCTTAGCTGAGGTCGAGTGGGGGTCAACGGGTGAGGGGACGGGTACTTTTGGGGAGGGTGATGCTATTCTGGGGGAGGTGAGGCGTTTGGGGTGAAAGAAGGCGGATGCGCAGGGTGGGGGTTGGGCATCAGGTTTGTCTGAAAGATGGGAAGGAAGGGGGGCGCGCATGGGGGGCGGCTGGGGTGATTCATGAGATGGGCGATGCAGATCATTCCGGCAGCTGCACCCACGTGCAGTGCCGCCCTGGGTACCCGGCAGCTTCCCATCGCCACCAGCAGTCGTTCGCCACCCCCAACCCCACCTCGCCACCCCTGTCCGCCGACCGTCACCCCTACCCCGCAGTGTCACCTGTGCATTGCGGTAGCGGGCTGTGCCCAGCAGGAGCCGCAGCGGGATGATGGGCGGCGAACCGTCGCCCACGCTACCGGCGGCGGGCGGGGCGGCCGCATGCTGTGGGCGGCCCTGCGCCGGCGGCGGCGCGGCGCAGAGGACGAGCAAGGCGCACCACGCCGCAACGACCGGGTGGCGCCGGCTGGCCTGGCGGGCGCCGCCGCAGGCAATATTCGTTGAGCGCATGTGTTGTATGGGGTTTGGCATGGTGCAGTTGGAATGTCGCATGCGCTGCCTATAGGCCCCGCCGAGCCCCGGTATGCTTCCGTGCTGCTGTCTGTCGCTGCTTGTGCTAACACTGTACCATCTCGGCGCCGGGCCGGCGGCCTGGGTGTCCAGTCTCCGCAGGAATTCCACGGATTTATAAACGATCAACTATGTCCTTGTGCTTGTCTTCAGCCACTGAACCGAGGGATTCGACCCGCACCCCAAACCGTCAGCGATCGCAGGCTACACGGCATTGCGGGCAACAAGGACACATCCTTGCCTTTTATGGATCCAGACGCACCCGGCAAATCTCCGAAACTCCCAGTCGGCGGTGGACGCAGGCACCCACCTGTCGAAATCGCTCCCCGAATCGTGTGTTCAAGAGGGCGCGCCAGCTTCAATCGTGCACATTCACTTTCAACGCTCTTCCAAGTACTCTCTCACGCCCCGTCCGGGCCCTCTCTGTGCTCTCCCGCCCCACCCGTCGCCCCAAGCTCGTCGCCAAGCCAGAATGATGCAGCAGGCCTCCAGTGAGTGCCGCCTAGGGTTCTGAGCGATCTAACAACCCTTGCTCTTAGTGTGGAGGCGCAATGGAGCGCCGTGGTGCACATTGGGCCTCGTGCACCACGCCACATCAGCAATCACATCCCAAACAGATCCGCGCCTGCCCACCCGTGCACCCTCGGCCTCACCATTCCGTACTCAGATTGCCTCTCCCCTGCCGTCATCCCCCGCCACCCTCCCAGAAACCGCGGCGACCCGCCCCAGCGCCCGCACCGGCGCCGCCGCCCGGCGCGCCGCCTCGGCCCGCGCGCCCC